ATCAACAGGCGCCACAAACAGCCAAGACCTACTCCATGAGGGGGAAGGGGGGTGCGAGGGACCGCGCCGATCGGCGAAACAATGAATAAAAAACCGATCACAAGTGGGCCCTCCGACGACAACGGCAAGGACGACGACGACGACGACGACGACGACGACGACGGTGACGACGGCGGCGGCGGCGGCGACGGCGGCGGCGGCGGCAGCGGCGGCGGCGGCGACGGTGGAGGCGGCGGCGGCGGCGAGGACGACGGCGACCGACGACGACCGCAGTGGCCGCGGCGGGGCCTCGTCGTCGGAGCTCTCGCCGGGCTCGGCCCCGGCCTGGCGCGCCCGGAACGGGCGCCCGCAGGCGGCGCGGGCGCGGAGGCCCTCCTCCTCTGCTTGGATCGGCGGCGAGGGATCGGCGAGAGCAGGGGAACCCCTACTCTTCTTCATCCTTCTCCTCCTCCTGCTACTCCTCCTCTCCTCCTCCTGACGAGGGAACTACGTCCCGTCATACATTGACCCACATTCATGTTTGGGTTTGGACCGAAAACGCGGTGACCCCTTCATGTTGGGACTCCGCCCTCACCTGCGTAGATATCAGGGCCAGCCATCCTCAAAGGCTGTGCAAGCCGACAGTATCCTCCTCCTCCTCCTCCTCCTCCCCCTCCTACCTATTGTAGTGGTGGTGGAGCATCGGCCCATCAGCCTCGCCCCAAAGACGGAGAGGGCTTCTTAGAAAGCCAGGAGGCTTCCGAGGAGACCCGCTGCCCTCTGATGAGGCCTGCTCCCTTTCACTTCCCCGCTGGGCTCGCCGTCGAGGGCCGAAGGCCTTCCGAGAAGCCTTTGGAGAGGGCCCGCCCCCTCTCTGCCTTCCCCCCCTTGGGCGCGCCGCCGCAGGAAGGCGTTGAACAGAGATTTGGGGCTCCGTCCGCCCCCTGATTGGGAGGGGTGAGGGGAAGGGGAAGGGGGAGGAGGAGGAGGAGGAGGAGGAGGAGGAGGAGGAGGAGGAGGAGAAGGAGGACGAGGAGGATGAGGAGAGGAGAGGAGGAGGAAGAGAGAGGGGGAGGGGGGAGGAGGAGGAGGAGGAGGAGGAGGGAGGAGGAGGAGGAGGAGGAGGAGGATCAGACGGGTGAGAAGGAGGAGGAGGAGAGGAAGAGAAAGAGAGGAGGAGACGGAGGAGGAGGAGGAGGAGGAGGAGGGAGGAGGGATGAGGAGAAGGAGGAGGAGGAGGAGGAGGATCAGACGGGTGATGAGGAGGAGGAGGAGGAGGAGGAGGAGGAGGGAAGGAGAGGAGGAGAGGAGGGGAGGAGGGGGAGGAGGAGGAGGAGGAGGAGGAGGAGGAGGAGGAGGCGGAGGAGAAGGAGGGAGGAGGAGGAGGGAAGCGGAGGAGGAGGAGCGGAGGAGGAGGACGAGGACGAGGAGGATGAGGAGCAGGAGGAGGAGAAGGAGGGGGAGGAGAGGAGGAGGAGGAGGAGGGGAGGAGAGGAGGAGAGGAGTAGGAGGAGGAGGAGGAGGAGGAGGAGTTGGAGGAGGAGTTGGAGGAGGAGGAGGCGAGGAGGAGGAGGAGGAGGACGAGATCAGACGGGTGAGGAGGAGGAGGAGGAGGAGGAGGAAGAGGAGGAGGGGGAGGGGGAGGAGGAGGAGGAGGAGGAGGAGGAGGAGGAGAGGAGGAGGAGGAGGAGGGAGGAGACGGAGGAGGAGGAGGCGGGGGAGGAGGAGGAGGAGCAGGAGAAGATCGGCGGCCTCTGGGGTTGCGGCGGCAGTGAACCGCTCGACTCTTGCAATAGGCAGACGTCCAAAGTACATTGGGATCTTGGGATGCAAAAATACCTGCCTTTAACGACCAGGTGACGAGCAAGTGGAATAAGAGGGGGGCAGGGGCGGCCCCGATCCCGAACTTCGTTCGACTTCCGAGTGGACAGCAAAAAAATAGGGCCCGCTCGGCATTATTCGATGGGAGGTGTCCATCCTCGATAGAGGTGCATCCGAATAGCCGCGAGGTGATATCCCCTGAGCGGCCTGATTGCCGAGGAGAACTCTCAGATTGGGGGCAGGAAATCGCCTGCGAGGCAAGGTGGGCTGTGCCTGGCCGAGCCTGCCTTGCAAGTGGGCTGCAAGCGGTAAAGATCCTGGCCCAGTGGGCTCCACCCACTGAGCGGAGCTATCTAGCCCCTACGCCACGGTAGGGCACGTGCGACCCCATCACTGGCTGCGTCTGGCCAGATAGCATCGCCCTTCTAGCATCCGCTTGGGATTATCCTATCCCCTTAGCAAACCTTCGCGGCGATCCCAAAGTATACAGCCATCCTGAGTCACGGACCTAATTACACACACACACACACACACACACAGCCTGCGTCATGCACCGCGCGGGTGCTGCAGGCTGGGGCCGAAACGCCCAGAAAGACCAGAGACAAGGGGAAAAAAACAAGGGAAGGAAGTCATAGAAGGCCTAAAATGGGAAGGGAAGAGAAACAACAAGGGAAGAGAAACATAGATGGAAAGGTTACCGAAAAAATGGTGCGTAGAAGGCCGGCTGGCCGCTCACTGCGTGGACCCGTTGCTGCTTGAAGCCGACGCTTTGTATCCAACGCGACGGGAAGGAGCGACAGGAGCGAAGGGGCTTGTCTGGCCACGGCGAGCCTCGGCAACGAAGAGATTCGCCCTCCTCCTCCTCCTCCTCCTCCTCCTCCGCCTCCTCCTCCTCCTCCTCCTCCTCATCATCATCATCATCCTCCTCCTCCTCTGGCCCGAAAAAAACGCGGCCCGTCCTGAGCCTAGAGACGTTATCACCTCAGCGCGGTTACAGTGGAGGCCAGTCCACAGGAAACCCTCCACAAGAAACCCAACCCTGAGACCCCAAGACGTCCACTGATTTTTGGCGCGGGAACGTCGCGCCTTCCGTGGCAAGACCGTCGAAACCTAAGAAAAACCAAGGGCACCCTGGAGGCGAGCAGGGTGTTTCTTGGCATGGGCCTCCACTGTAGGCTGGGAATTCAACGCTCTATCAACACCCCTGGCTCGCGCGCCAACCTCGCGGGGGGCCAGAGTGGAGGCACGGAAGAACGTCACGGCCCCTGAAGCCCTGACGGCCTCCAGAGGCCTGGGAGAAGCCCCGCAGCAGACGCCAGGGAAGAGACGGACGAATCGGCAACGACGACACGCAGGCGGCACGACGGGAGGCAGCACGCCACGCTCACGGGATCGGAGGCCGCACATCTCCTGCTCCGGGGGTCGGCGGAATGGCGCGAGCCCCGTGAGTGAAGTACGACCCCTAGCAGCGAAAAGTTGTAAACCCTGCCATCGCCCGCTCGGCATGCAGAGCCTGAGGGTGTCGTAGTAAGGACATAGATGAAGCATCGACCAAGAATCCTCGATCCTCGAGGTTCGAGGCTCGAGGATGGATGGTTGAACGTGTTCAGCCAGATTTGCGCCTCCAACGGCACCCTGAGGCTTCTACAGGCCTCCTCGATCCTCGAGGGGCGAGGATCATCATCATCATCACCATCATCATCATCATCATCATCATCATCATCATCATCATCATCATCATCATCATCATCATCACCATCACCACCATCACCACAACCACCATCATCATCAGCATCATCATCATCATCAGCATCATCATCAGCATCATCAGCAGCAGCAGCCTCATCATCATCATCGTCGTCGTCATCATCCTCATCGTCATCATCATCATCGTCATCATCATCATCAGTACCCTCATCATCATCGTCATCATCATCATCTTCATCAGCATCATCATCATCATCATCATCATCATAGACATCATCATCATCAGCATCATCATCATCAGCCTCATCCGCATCCTCATCCGCATCAATCGTCGTCGCCATCGTTATCAATATCAGCATCGACACGATCATCATCATCAGCTGCATCATCGGCATCATCGTCATCAGCAGCAGCAACACCATCATCATCATCATCATCATCATCATCATCATCATCACCATCACCAACATCATCATCATCATCATCAGCATCATTAGCAGCAGCAGTAGCATCAGCATCACCATCATCATCACAATTAGCATCATCACCATCATCAGCAGCATCATCCTCATCGTCATCAGAATCATAATCAGCATCAGCATCATCAGCGTCATTCTTGTCGTCCCCATCATCACCGCCACCACCGCAACCACCATCACAATCACCAGCATCATCATCAGTATCATCAGCAGCAGTAGCATCAGTAGCAGCATCAGCGCCATACTCATCACCATCATTAACATCCTCCTTCTCGTCATCCACCCCTCCTCCTCCTCTCCTCATCATCGTCATCATCGTCAACATGGTCATCAGCATCATCATCATAGTCATCATAGTCATCATCATCAGCAGCAGCAGCATCGTCGCCGTCGTCATCAGCATCAGCATCATAATCATCATCAGTATCATAATCAACATCAGCATCGTCACCGTCATCATCAGATACATCGTCATTATCACCATCAGCATCAGCATCGCCATCATCATACTCATCAACAACATCGGCATCATCACCAGCATCACCATCATACTCCTCCATCAGCATCCGCATCATCACCATCAGCATCAGCATCAGCAACAGCAGAATCATCGTCATCATCATCGTCATCATCGTCATCATCATCACAATCATCATCATCATCATCATCATCATCAGCAGCAGCAGCAGCATCATCATCAGCAGCAGCAGCATCATCAGCAGCAGCAGCATTATGTCGGGTGTGTCCCCCTACAGGTCGACGAAACAAACCAAATACTCCCAAAATAACCCAGAAAGGCAAAAAAATAGTCCAAAAATAATCCCAAGACTATGTTTGGACTATTTTTTGAGTATGTTTGGGGTATTTTTTTTTTTCGTCGAAAATCCCCCTGCAGGGGGACAGGCCCGACTTAACAGTAGCATTGTCATTATCATCATGATCGCCATCATCACCACCCCGAGCGGCTCCGCCCATGCCCTCCGCCCAGCCACACCCCCCCTGCGGCCGCCGCGCCTCCTGGGAGCCTCCGCCCGGGGGCACCGCCTCGGGCGCGCCGCGGGCCTGGCGAGAGGCACACCGCGGAGAGGAGGAGGAGGAGAAGGAGGAGGAGGAGGAGGAGGAGGAGAAGGAGGAGGGGCACACCGCGGCGAGGATCGGATCGAAACCCGCGACCTCCTCGAGCGTCCGACATTCTCGTCGGTGTGATCGGCTCGAACCCCGCGACCTCCTCGAAGGTCCGACATTCTCGTCGGTGTGGGGAGGTTTTCCCGCCTCGGGATGCTGCCCTGCAGCTGCGCCTCGCCAAGGGCGTTCCAGGGGGGCCCGGATCGTCCCGAACGGCCGCCCAAAACCCAAGTTATGACCCGAGAACTAAACCTCCTCGCGTCGTGAAACCTCGTCGTCGTCGTCGTCCCTCGTCGGTGCTCGTCGTGGTCGTCGCAGCCGTCGTCATTCGTCGCCATGGTGGTCGTCGTCGTTGTCCTCCCCGCCCTCCCCCCAATCCTCCTCGCTCTCGTGTTCTGTCCCTCTGCTTCTGTTTCTCTCTCTCTCTCTCTCTCCCTGTAAGACGACGGCGAAAGACGGCAAAGCACAGCGAAAAACACGGCGACCGATCGGCGATGGCAACGACGCCGAGAGCAAACGACGGCGGCGTCGGACGGGCGGCAGCTGGACAACGGCCTCGGCCGGCGGCTCTGGCTCCCGCGCCGCATCCGCCCGCGCCGGCGCCGGCAGCTCCTCGCGGTCGCGTTGGCGATCGCCGCCCGCCGTCGCCGCGGCGCCATCGGCATCGCCGATCGCCGATCGTCGCCGTCGCCCGTCGGCGCGGCCGTCGCCGTTATCGCGGTCGTCGTGGTCGTCGAAGTCGTCGGCGTGGTCGTCATGGTGGTCGCCGCTTTTGCAGTCGTTGCCGTCGTCTTCTTCACGGCCGCCGCCGCCGCCGTCGCCGTCGCCGTCGCCGTCGTCGTCCTCCCCCCGTCACCCCTTTCCCCTCTTTCCTTCCAACCTCCCCCCCTCCCCCCCTCCCCCCTCCTCCCTTCCCTCCTTCAGCTTGGCTCCCCCTTACCTCTTCCCCCCTCCCTTGTCCTCAGAGGGGAGGTATGGAGAGGAGGAGGGGGAGGAGAAGGAGGAGAAGCGAGGGAGAGACAAGTAGGAGAAAGGGGGGAGCAGGGACGACGAGTAGGAGAAAGGGGGGAGCAGGTATGGAGAGAAGGGGGGAGCAGGGAGGACGAGCAGGAGGCGGGGTGCAGCCGAGACATGGCCCCTTCGCCGTTGGGCCCGATGCCCAAGGTCCCATGGAGGAGGTGGCCGCAGCGAAGACCGCTCCGGGGTGCGGGGCGGAATGGCACCGCTCCAAGACCAGAGAATCGCTCTGAACCCTCGTGCTAGCCACACGATGAGAGGAACCTAAGACGGCATAGACACAAGCTTGTGGCGCTCCGCGCGGAATTCTTGGATCTGCGCTGGGACCCCCTGGCGGCGCCTCCGACGCCGCCCCTGGAGACCTTCTTGGATCTGCCTGGGACCCTATGGCGGCGCCTCCAGCGCCGCCCCTGAAGTGCGCTCCGTGCACCGAGGCGGGGGGGGGCAGGGCTCAGGTCCAAGAAATCCGCGCGGAGCACCGGAAGCTTTTATGCTTATGCATTTCTTTGTTCTTCGAACGATTTGGTACACCATCGGGGAATCGAGAGCGTCGCATACATCCGTATGGCAGGTTCGTGTCGGGCCGACACCGGCATCGGTTCCTGACCCTCCGGGGATCTTCCAGCCTTGAACGATCGGCCGTTTCGGAAACGTCCGATCGTTCAGCATCGACCGATTTTGGATCGCCGGCGGCGTTCCATGTTGAACGCCAGCAGCGGTGTCGCCGCTGGTCGACACGACGCGAACCTACAGTATCCGCGTCTTCGCAGTCTGCAGGGGCGCGATCCAGCGGACACGCAGTCGCACGGACACGTTCCCCGCGGGGCATCCGCGAAAAAACGCCCCGCATCGGCGGGGTCGCAGCCCATGGGCCTGGCCCGCGAGGCCGTGGATGCGAATATGTGTTTCGCCAATAAGAGGAGGCACCCCGAGGCATTAAGCCAGTGCCGCCCGATCGGGCGACGGACCGCGTCGATGTTGCGTGAAAAACAGAACCCGTCGCTAATTCACCCGACGTAGTCTATGTTTGCGTTTCCTCGATACGAGGAGGAGGAGGAGGAGGAGGAGGGGGAGGAGGAGGACCGAGACTACCGCGCATACCGACGCAGGCAACAGCCCCATCTGCCTCTGCCCATTGAGAACCTCTTTGCTCGAGGCCTCCTGGATGGGGTCCGAGTAGATGGGGCCAGAGGACTGCACCGAATCTGCCGATGTATCGTCGATGCATCGGCGATGCACTGGCGGCATCGGCGATGCATCGGCGACGTCGGCGTGGAGAAAATCGGGCTCCACATCGAGCCGCATCGCCGATGCATCGGCGATGCGGCGCGAGCCTCCGACCCCATCGAACTACTCGGACCTCACCTGAGACCATTTTTTTGAGGGGGGAGGAGGCGAAAGGAGAAGGCGCAACGATAACCCTGCCGATGCACATGCTGTACGTAATACACACAACTCTAGCCAAGACGCAGAGGCCGATACGAATTCACCCTAGATCGTGTCGCTAAAGCTTGGGAGGCCGGGAGGAGGCGAGGGAGAAGGAGATGAAAAGGAGAGGACACCAGGCGCCACCTGGGAGCCCTGGACCATCTGCCTCTCCCCCCATCGAAGACCCCCTTGCGCCGCTCCGTCGCTCCCTTCCCTTCCCCCCCCCCTCCGCTCACCTGCGCGGCCTCCTGCGTCGCCCCAAGGGGTGGAGCGGCAAGCGTTAGGTCGGGCGTATCCCACTACAGGGGGATTTTGGACAAAAAATGGAAAAATCAAACACATTCAAAAATTCCTCAAACATATTCAAAAAAATCGCCCCCAGGCTGTTTTTTGCCTATTTTTGAATTTTCCTCCTGTAGAGGGACGTGCCCGATTTAAGGCAAGCGCCACCCTGGGGACCCCAAAGAAGCCGGGCAGCCCAGGGAGGCCCGACAAAGCCCCCGCAAGGTAGCTGCCCTCGAGGAGCGCCCCAGACGGCAACAGAGGGACGAACCAAAAACTAGGGCGCCAAGGGGGTCGGCGGATGCAATGTCGCGTGGGCCGCTGAATGATCGGCGCGCGGGGGTGGGAGGCACGAAGCAACTCCTGGGAGGTCTTCGTGGGAAAGATCAGGATGTATTGCGCCCGGTGAAAGTGGCCATGGGTGCCAGAGCAAGACGGACTAAGCCCAGGAGCGAGCGGGCCGGATCAAACCAGATCAGGCTGGCGTGTGACAGTCTTCGACCGAGGACGTACCGTCGCCGATGCTGACTCTAAGCTTCGAGGAGCGGGGAGCAAGAAGACAAAGAGGAAGGGGGAAAGAAGACAAGCAGAGAGGAGGGAGGAGGGCAGGATCAGCAGGCATCGAGTCGGGAAACCAGATCGGATCGGATACCATCGAGTCGGGCCAAGGGTCGGAATCGAACCGGATGGGCCGCGCCAGGGTGTACAACAACGCCGGTGCAAGCATCGGCCCGCACTGGATCTTTAGCACCTGATCGGACAAGAGCAGGAAGCGCCGCTTTAGTCCAATGGGCTTATTGGGCGAAGAAAACGAAAATCAAGGCGAGGGCGACGAGGAGGCGATGACGAGGACGACGTGGAGAGCGTGAGGATAGCGAGGGGGAGCATGAGGACGCCACCGGGCCCGTAAGATTTGGGCGTGTTAGAATGCCAGGTGCTGCCCCGGGTCCTGTAGGGATTCTGCATTAAAATAAGACCCCCCCCTTGCATTGGAGCGCCGCGTGCATCCCCACCCCTCCTTAGGCCACGATCCCTCATAAGAAAACAATGGATCTGCGCTCCCAAGGCCACGATCCACGATCCCTCGCTAAAAACAATGGAGTCACGCCCTCAGCTTCCAAGACGGCCCATGCACGCAGCCAAGGACCCCAAGATAACCCAAAATGCTTAGAAGACGGGGGAAGATGGCTCCAAGGCGGCCGAATCGGGCCTCAAGACGGCCCGAGATGTTTCCAAGAGGGCCCAAACAGGCCAGTAACAGACCTCTCAACAGGGTCCGAAGAAACCTACATCATTCTCGCCTTTTTCTGGCTTCCGTCAGCTCAGGACAGCCCAAGAGGCCCCCACGATGGCCCCAAGATGGTCCAAGAGGCCCCCACGAGGGTCCTAAGATGGCCCCCGCGAGGGCCTAAGATGCATCCAAGACGGCCCAAAGACGGCCCAAGAGGGCCCCCCGTGGGGTCCAAGACGGCCGTAGAAGGCCCCTCGACTGCCCGAGACGGCACCAAGACGGCCCCACGACGGCCTCCAGCACCCACCATACGGCCAAGAGGGACCAAGAGAGCTCTAAGACGGCCCAAGGGGTCCCAAGGCACCCAGCAAGACTGCCTCATAGGAGGCTAAGACGGCCCCAAGACGTCGCAGAGGTCACATGTGACGGCCTTCCCGTTTCTCTTCATCCTGCCCCTCCTCCCGTTCCCCCTCATCCTCATCCTCATCCTCATCCTCATCCTCATCATCATCATCATCATCATCATCATCATCAGCATCATCATCATCATCATCATCATCATCATCATCACCATCATCATCATCATTATCATCATCATCATCATCATCATCATCACCATCACCATCACCATCACCATCACCATCACCATCATCATCATCATCATCATCAGCATCAGCATCAGCATCAGCATAATCATCATCATCATCATCAGCATAATCATCATCAGTATTATCATCATCACCACCATCAGCATCATCATCGTCATCATCATCAGCATCATCATGGTCCTCAGCAGCAGAATTCACAGCAGCAACCGTATCTTCATCAGCGCCACCATCATCATCATCATCATCATCATCATCATCATCATCATCATCATCATCATCATCATCATCATAAGCATTGTCAGCATCATCGGCAGCAGCATCGTCATCATCATCAGCCTATCCAGCATCATCAGCATCATCATCAACAACCGCAGCGTCATCATCATCGTCGCCATCATCATCAGCATCATCATAATCATCATCATCAGCAGAATCATCATCATCATCATCATCATCATCATCATCGGCATCATCTTCATCACCATCGTCAGCACTATCGCCATCATCGTCCCCCCCATCAGTATTAACAGTTTCAACATCATCATAATCAGCATCAGCATCATCATCAACAGCGTAGCATGATCAGCATCAGCATCATCATCAGCATCAGAATGATTATCATCATCGGCATCATCAGCACCGTCATCATTGCCGTCATCGTTGCCGTCATCATCATCATCATCATCATCATCACAGTCATCATCATCGGCAGCATCATCATCAGCAGCAGCATCAGCATCATAATCAGAATCATCAGCCTCATCAGCATCATCATCATCATCATCATCATCAGCATCGCAGTCATCATCAGAATCATCAGCAGAACCAGCATCAGAATCAGCATCAGTGTCAGTATCGTCAGCCCCATCAGCATAAGAATCAGCAACATCTTCATGTGTCAGCATCCTGATCAGTAGCACCGTCAACACCCCCATCCTTACGCTCAGCAGCATCATCATCATTTGCAGCAGCAGCGACACCAACGTCCTCATAATCATCCACCTCAGCATCATCAGCAGCATCATCCTCATCCACATCATCAGCAGCATCATCCTCATCAGCATCATCAGCAGCATAAGCGTCATAATCAGCATCATCATGAACAATATCTTATCGTCGAGTCAACACCAACACCATCACATCATCATCATCAGCATCAGCATCATCATCATCATCGTCATCCTCATCAGCATCATCATAATCATCACCATCATCAGCATCAGCATCATAAAAATCATCCTCATAATCATCCTCATCCTCATCACGCTCATCATCCTCATGACGGCTCTTCAAAGCCTGGAAACGGGGTTTCAGACGGGACGGCCTCTTCCAACCTCCATCTTCCCCTTCGAGGAGGCGTCTACTCCTCCCCCGTCCCCCTCCCCCTGGGTCTGGAGGGGGGGGTCCCCAGGTCGTTGAAGCGTCCAAGATGTCGTCGGCGAGAAGATGCAAATCATTGCTGTTACTTAGGTTTTAGACACATGTTGGCCTCATAGGGGGGGGCGCTGATATGATATGGTACTCCCCCTTCTTTTATCGAACTCCTCCAAGATGGCCCAAGGATGGCCCCCAAGGCTCCCAAGAGTGCCCAAAGCGGGCCCCTTGAAGAGGCCCCAAAGATGTCCCCAAGAGGCTCCCAAGACAACCAGAAGAGGCCCCGAGAGGCTCCCCCGAGGCACCCCAGACACTTCCAGGGGTCCCCGGGACCGCTAAGAGGCTCCCAAGATGCCCCAAGGGGCCTAGAAGAGGCCTACAATAAGCTGTCAAGAGACATTCGAAGAGACTCCGAGAAGAATCCAAGAGGCCTGTTGCCTTTCTGCTCACCGTCCTCCTCCTCCTCCTCCACATCCTCCTCCTCTTCATCCTCCTCCTCCTCTCCATCCTCCTCCTCCTCCTCCTCCTCCTCCAACTCCTCCTCCTCCTCCATCCTCCTCTCCTCCTCCTCCTCGTCCTCCTCCTCTCCTCCTCCTCCTCCTCCTCCTCCTCCTCCTTTTCCTATTGCTCATCCGCCTTGTCCTCCTCCTTCCTTCTCCCTTCTCCCTCCTCCTCCTCCTGCTCCTCCTCCTCCTCCTCATCCTCCTCCTCCGATTCGAATTTATAAGTCGGATCGGCGATCGAAATGAATCGGATCGGCGGAAATCGGCGGCCGAGTCGGGAGAAGTCGAATCGGCGGAAATCAGCAGGCCAGTATGCTTCCAAGGAGTCCAAATCGGAATCCGAAGTCGAATCGAATCGAAATCGGAAGCCATCGAAACCGAATCGAATCGACTCGGAGGGCTCGAAACAAGCCCTGGACGGGCAGGCAGAGGTCCAGCTCGGGCTCGTCGTCGCTGCTGTCGTCGCCGCCGAAGTCCCCGAAGGTCTCCTCGGGCTTCCTGCCGGTGCGGGGGGGGGGCGGGGGGGGAGCGTCGCGCGAGCGCGCGCGCGCGCGCTGCCTGTGAGTCCCACCTGGGGAAACCAAAAGGCACCGGAGCGGTGGAGGCCAGTCCACAAGAAACCTTCCACGAGAAGCGCAACCCTGAGACCCCAGGACGTCAACGGATGTTTGGTCTGGGGACGTCACGCTTTCCATAGCAAAGCCATCGGAACCCAAGAAAACAAGGGCACCCTGCAAGCAAGCAGGGTGTTTCTTGGCATGGGTTTCCACTGTGCCGTTATTCTTAGGCCGGGCATGTCCTCCCAGAGGCGGAATCTTGGAGGAAAAATGCAAACTAGCCAAAACAGATTCAAACAAATAGTCAGGAGTGGTGGAAAAATACCATCCCCAGACTATGTTGGGGGGTCGGAGCGCCTTCGGAGCGCGGTGGCTGCCCGCGACGGGGGTCGATGTGGGGCTGTCGGCGGGGGTGACGCCCCTCCGGCGTTCCCCCGGCGTTTATTCAGAAACTCGGAGCACTTTTGTTGCAAGATGATGCCGGAAGCTCCTCGACGGCCCTCGCCGACGAAAGACGGCACACGCCCGAGCGGCGCCAAGCTGCGATGCTTCCTCCTCGGAGGCGTGCGCCCGACCCGAGCATCTGGTGGCACCATCTCGTAACGTGTGGTTTCACGAGCGGCGTGGCCAGGGAGCGCCCGCCACCGATCATCCATCACGAGAGCTGTCGGCGCGCGCGTCGCCCCTGCAGGGGCGACGCCCACGCAGTGGCAGCATGCTGGGGCAGGATGCGACCACATCGAGTGAGAAAGCCGGGCCAGGCCGGAAATTGCGTCGGATCGGGGGGCTGCATCGGCACGGAATCGAAACCGGATGGGAACGGCTGCCACTGCGGTTGAAGGAAAGACTTTGCAACAACGCTCCGACGACAAAGAACCGAATTCCACTCCCCTCCACCCCCCGCCTGAACGTTGAAGGCCAGGGGGGTGCCGGGGGGTATATCCGAAGTGGCCCCCCAACTCTCGATGCAAAGTTTTCCCTTCAACGGTATGACCCAAGATGCAGAAGGGCGCAGTGCCAACAAAGGGGCCGCATCGGATCGCCGAACATCGGCATGGACTCGGATCGGGCCTGCCGAGACCGATTTTTCGCATCGGACCCGGCGGGTCAGGACCCGTCTCCCGCCTCTCTTTCGTGGCGAGCAAAGAGGTCGGGCGCGGCCTAACCGACCCCTGGCAAACCGTCCCCTCCCGTGACGTCATCCTCGCCTTCCGAGCTCCCCTCCGGCCGCAGACATACGTCATGGGGCGAGGCGAGGGAGGCGCCACGAAAGGGGGCGGTCTGCTGAGGGTCGGCCAGGCCGCCCCAAGAGGAGGATGGGGCCCTGTCCGCCGTGCCGCCCGTGCTCGCCGCCTGGCCCGAGGAGGCGCGTCGACGGGGAGGGCCCGAGGGCCGCGGCGGCTGCGCTTTTCGGAGGGGAGGCGCTGCAGTCAGCTTGCTCTCGGGAGTGGGGTAGACCTCTTTTTTCCCGAATGCACCCCCTTGCCATCGCTCGGACGTCCATTTCCCATGCATTGTTCGGTTTCGTGCGTGTTTTTGTTGGCCCGATGGTCCAGGATGGTCCTCGATGGTTCTCGCCGAAAGAAAAATGCAAACGTCCGAGCGATGCCAGGCCCCCCTCCACCTCGGGGCGCCCAGCCGAGGTGGCGGGGCAGGACGGGTGGCTGCACGACGACGATCGACCGCCACACGAGTGAGGTGCGTGACGGGCAGGGCCCGGGGCGGAGGCGGGGGCGCAGGAGGCGGGGGCGGAGTGACGCTTCTTGCTCTTGCAGCCGAGCCCCTCCGACGCCCAGACATCCGGCGCTCCGATGCGAGCTCACCGTTGAGCAGGGACCGACCGTCCCGGCATTTCTATAGTCCTATCATGAAATGTTCTTAGAACCCAAAAAAAATCTGATAACAAGAACAGTGCTCTTAGAACATAAACCCGATGCGTTCAAACAAAACAGACTCCGCCAGAAATGCTCTAAGAACATTTCGTGGAAACCTCAAAAGGTTCTTAGAACATTGCTTCGTAGGGCTATAGGCACGCCAGGACGCTTCGCCACTGCTTGACACCGCGAGGCCCTGCGAGGCGGACGGCGCCTGGCCGGGCCGGCCCGTTACTCGACCCCCGCGGCTGCAGCTGGGCCTCCGAGGCGCACGCCCCGGCTCGCCGACGCGGTGGAGGCCGGGAGTGCCACAGGTGCGGCAAGAGATCTCTGGGCAGCGGCCGGCCTTCCCGACGTCCTAGAGAGGCCTGCCACGAGAAGCTCTCAGAACCCAAGAGATGTTCCAAGAACAAAACCAATGCTCTTAAGTAGAATATAAGCCCGATGGGATCAAACAAGACAGTCTCGGCCAGAAATGTTCTAAGAACAGTTCGTGCAGACCACAAAAGGCTCTCAGGACAGTCTATTTGTGGGACCAGATAGGGGAGCCCTGGGACACACAAATAGATAGACACAAATCCCTGAATTCCCCATCTGTTCGCATATTTTCTGGCTTTTCTTCTTCCCCCCCACTTCCCGTAGTTTCCCATATTTTCCTTGGAATCGACGATTACTTGTGTCTGTGTATTCTCCCCTCCCGACCCGAGGCCAGCCCCCTGGGGCCAGCAAGAATGGCGACGGGCGGGCCGCTCTCGAGCTTCTCACACCTGCGCCCGAGGTCCAGGACGACGAGCAAATCGAGTGCGACGACGAGGAGGAGGAGGAGGAGGAGGAGGAGGAGGAGGAGGAGGAGGAGAGGAGGAGGAGGAAGGAGGAGGAGGAGGAGGAGGGCCGAGGGGAGGGAGGAGGAGGAGGAGGAGGAGGAGCGAGGAGGAGGAGGAGGGAGAGGAGGAGGAGGAGGAGGAGGAGGAGGAGGGGAGGAGGAGGAGGGGAGGATGGAGGCAGAGGAGGAGCGATAGGAGGAGGAGGAGGCAGGGAGGAGGAGGAGGAGGAGGAGGAGGAGGAGAGAGGAGGAGGAGGAGGAGGAGGGGAGGAGGGAGGAGAGGGAGGAGGAGGAGGAGGAGGAGGAGGAGGAGGAGGAGGAGGAGGAGGAGGGGGGGGAGGGGGAGGAGGAGGAGGAGGAGGAGGAGGAGGAGGAGGAGGAGGAGGAGGAGGAGAGGAGGAGGATGGAGAGGAGAGGAAAGGAGGAGGAGGAGGAGGAGGAGGAGGAGGGGGAGGGGAGGAGGAGGAGGAGGAGGAGGAGGAGCAGGAGGAGCAGGAGGAGGGACGATTAATTGTGCCTGTGTGTGTGTTTCCCCTCCTGACTGGAGGCGAGCCAGGACGCTCCGCCGCTGCTTCGGAGCTCTGGGGCAGCGCAGGCCGATCCAGGGACGAGCGCCTCGCGCGGCCGCGCGGCCCGCGCGGCTCCCCCGCGCGCAGCTGGCCAGCGTGCGGGCCACCAGCAAAGCTCGGTGGCTTAGTATGTTGTGGATGCCATGCCGGTGGAAACTCTCACAACCCTAGCATTGGACTTAACGTGCATATGATGTTCTAAATATGTATAGAACCTGGTTCTCTCCATTGATCGTCTTCCGCGAAACTCATGGGAGCTCTTGCGAACCGACGCTAATCGACGCCAAATCGACGCCAAGTGACGCTAAATCGGCGCCAACCGACGCGAAATATCGGCGCTGTCCCATCGACTCCCAGACGCTACTCGACGCTAATCGACGCTAAAAACGGAAGTACGAGGGTATACCACGCTCCCAGGATTTGCTGCCGAAGCCAAGGCCATCTCCTGTGGCGTTCGGCGGGGGTGGTCTGGTGCCGCAGGGGCGGGCGCAACGTCGAGCGTCGCCTGGACAAGCTGCGAGCAGTGTGCCCTGGCCGCCCGACGCAGCCAAGCAGGACGAAGCCAAGGCGAGGGTAAAACCAGGCGAGGATACAGCGGGAATCTCTGAGGCCTGGCGGCTCTGGAGGATGCCTCGGGCGCCGCGGCCTTCTCAGAACGTTCCGGCACGACCTGAGAGCGTCCCAGAACGCTCTGGAACGGATTTCTCCTCGTCCCAGCCTTTGGTCGGGCATGTCCCCTTCTAGGCGGATTTTGGAAAAAAAAAATAAATAATCAAAAACTACTTTAAAATGTTCGAAGATGATAGAAAATCATCTTGACTGATTCTGAATATTCCTCCTGGCAAGGGCCAGGCCCGACGTGATCCTAGCCCCGTCCGACCATGGCAGCTCGCCAACCTGACAGCGGGGCGCGCCCCCGAGGCCCGCGCGACCGGCCCGCCAACAGGCCAGCCGCCCCCCTGACCGAGGCCGTCTGGATCGCGTGGGGGCGCGTGTGCGCCCTCGAGCGGGGGCGGGGCCAACCTCGCGCGCCAGCAAGCCTCCTCCTCCTCCTCCTCCTCCTCCTCCTCCTCCTCCTCCTCCTCCTCCTCCTCCTCCTCCTCCTCCTCCTCCTCCTCCTCCTCCTCCTCCTCGTCTCTCCTCCTCCACCTCCACCTCCGCCGAGTCCGGCTCGCAGCGGCCCCCCTGGGAGAGCCCAGGATCGAGTCCAGAAGTCGGATCGGCGGTCGAAATGCATCGGATCGGCGGAAATCGGCAGCCAAGGCGGGAAAGGAGTCGAGTCGGCGGAAAAATCGGCAGGTTCGTAGGGCCTCCACTCTCTGAGGAATCGGGATGCAGATCGGAGTCCGAAGTCGAGTCGAATCGGAATCGGTATCTCTCGAAATTGTAGAGACAAAACCACATCGAGGACACACCCTGGGAGATGTTCTGCACATGCCAGCAATCGTCAGAACACCGAGGCCAGCTCAATGGTGCTGGTTGTGGTGGATGTGGCGTCCTGGGACGGCCACATCGACCACAGCCACAGCCGAAGTGCCCGATGTCGAGGCCGGTGGGTTCTTCCCCGATGGGTCCTCCCGAAAAAGCTACTCGGCTGTGCCTGTGCCGGGGGCGCGCAGACATGGATTAGCGATCCATGGACTTGGCGCGCAGTCGCCAAATCAATGGATCGGGG